GCCAAGTTCACCTTGCATGGTCACAGCTCCCTGGCAAGAGCAGAGGTCACCAGCTTGGCCATGCCCCTGGGGGTCTCCATACCCCTTCACACCTACTCCAGCACACAAAGGCAAGGAGGGACAGGACAGAGGAAGAGCAGGAAAAAGGAATGACCTTTTTTTGGGGAAAAAAAGTCTGTGTTTCTGGGCTTGCACCAGAAGGAACCATCTTTCACGCCCCCACAGGGATGGGTTGCTGGGTCCCTTCTGGTCAGGCAAAACTTCCTGCAGCTCTGCTAGTGACTGGGCAGGCCCCAGAGGCCATACCAAGGAAGAATCCAGTGAGAGGCAGGATTGGGAGGCAAAAATTAGATGGGAAAGGGATTGGCAATTATACCAAATGATGGTGGAGCTCGGCTCAGTCCCAGTTTTCCCACCATAAAAGCCCCACTCCCAATTCACTGCTGGAAGCATCTCTTGCATATGAACTTAAACCAACAAAGTGATAAGGAAAGCACCAGAAATAGAGGGAAAGAATTAATAAATTAAAAAAGGATGAGCTCCGCCAGCGCATCCCAGGCCAATAACGTGCTCTAGTGTGTTTAGCATGGAAAAGTTTAGATTAGCATCATGGTAACAACTCTGGTTGTATCATCTCACCCATTTTTAAAGAGGGTAAAAAGGAGGACCCTAGAAACTACCAACAATCAGCCTGACTAATCTGGTGGCCTTCTGCGATGGTGTGACTGTGTTGGAGGATGAGGGATGAGCAACTGATGTCACCTAGCTGGACTTCTGTAAGGCCTTTGACACAGTCCCATACAACATCCATGTTGCTAAATTGGGGAGATACAGGTTCGATGGATGGGTGCTGGACATGGAATTGGCTGGATGGCTATATCCAAAAAGTGGCAGTCAACAGCTTGATGTCCAAATGGAGATCAGTAACAAGTGATGTCCCTCAGGGGTCTGTACTGGGACCAGTACTGTTTAATATCTCCATTGACATAGACAGTGGGATCGAGTGCATCCTCAGCAAGTCTGGAGACAACACCAAGCTGAGTGGTGCAGTTGATACACCTGAGGGATAGGATGCCATCCAGAGGGACCTCGAGAGGCTTGAGGAGTGGGCCCATGTGAACCTCATGAGGCCAAGTGCAAGGTCCTGCACCTGGGTCGGGGCAATCCCCAGTATCAATAACTGGGGGATGAAGGGATTGAGAGCAGCTCTGCTGAGAAGAACTTGGGAGTACTGGTGGATGAAAAGCTGGACATGAGCTGACAATGTACACTTGCAGCCCAGAAAGCTGGTTGCATTCTGGGCTGCATCAAAAGCAGTGTGGCCAGCAGGTCGAGGGAGGTGATTCTGCCCCTCTACTCCACTCTGGTGAGAGCCCACCTGGAGTCCTGCATCCAGCTCTGGGGTCCCCAGTACAAGACAGGCATGGATCTACTAGAACAGGTCCATAGGAGGGCCATGAAAATGGTCAGAGGGCTGGAACACCTCTCCTATGAGGACAGGCTGAGTCGAGGTTGTTCAGCCTGGAGAAGAGAAGGCTCCAGGGAGACCTTATTGCAGCCTTTCAGTACTTAAAGGGGGCTCATAAGAAAGATGTATACTTTTTACCAGTGCCTGTAGTGACAGGACAAGGGGTAATGGTTTTAAACTGAAAGAGGGTAGACTTAAATTGGACATCAATTTCTTATGATGAGGGTGGTGAGACACTGGAACAGGTTGCCCAGAGAAGTTGTGGATGCCCCATCCCTGGAAATGTTCAAGGTCAGGTTGGATGGAGCTTTGAGCAACCTGATCTAGTAAAAGATGTCCTTGCCCATGGCAGGGGCATTGGACTAGATGATCTTTGAAGGTCCCTTCCAACCCTAAACCATTCTATGATCCTATGATCTCATTGTAATAAAATGTATGGGCAGACTGAAACAAGACAACACAGTAGGTATTGCAGATATCTGTGCATTTAGCAAGAATGAAAGTGTACTTGGCAGGGAGGGGCTTTGTGTGCATGTATGTGTTAGGTATCTATCCTACTTTCAGTTTGTACTTGCTGGACACGCTAAAATCTAGTAATGCATTTCAACAGTAGTAGTTGGTGTGGCATAATCTATTCTAACAAGATGCTCAATTTACTCAGCATCACAGTATCATGCAAAAGCTGCTACAAAAATAAATTTCTCTAAAAAAGGAGAAAAAAAAATCACAAATCACCCTTTTGTGTTTTTAACGCTGTGGAACAGGCCACAGGCGCTTTGACGGTGATTGAAGCTGTATCTAAGCTGCAGTCTGTGAATCCTGAGTACTTCCCAGGAAAGCTGAAGCACAACTCCCACCCGAGCAGCACGGCGGGGCTGTGCAATCCCACCTCTGCTCACGCAGGGAGTGCCTGTGCCACCGCTCAGCGGGGTAGGAGCTGCACGCACCATCTTTCGCTTACTTCAATCCTGGTGCTCAGAGCAGGACTGCACGCGGGCTCTTTGCCCCAAGATGGATAGAAAAGCATCCCACTGATCTTTATTTATTTTTTTTTAAATTATGCTCAGGGTTGTTTTTTTTTTTTTTCTTGCTAGCAGTGCCCACGAGGGCCCTGCAGCCTATCCCACCCCAGCTGCTCCTCAGACCCGCCACCCCCTCAAGGTGGTGGTCACCCCAAGCCTGGGCAAATTTTTTTGCTTCTAGGCAGAGAAGTTAAAGGTAGTTTAGCCACTCTTTTCCATGAATCTCAAAAGTGCTCTGCAACTTTGGGTAAGATTTAGCAATGTGAAATAATATATATATATGTGGAAAGAAAGAAATTCTGACCTCATTTGCGCCTGTGCAGTCTGCTGTGCTCTATTTTGTGTTTCAGATGGGAGGAGGCTAGAGCCCTAGCAGGCACCTGGTATCTCATCCTGATACTGGAAACCTCTTGGCCAGGAAAGGTCAAGGATGAACAACTTATTTTCTCCTTCTTGCTTGTGGGACTTGAAATAAATCAAAATGGACAGGAACCTACAACCAGAGATTTTGATTGTATCCAAACCAGGACAAGGTAAGCCAAGATAAGATCTAACTAGGATTTAAAGACACTAAAATTGAAACACGCTAACCAGTAACCTCTTACCAAATTTGCTAAAACCCTCAGGTTTCTCATCTCTAGCCTATCTCCGCTTACAGTATCGATGCTAAGAGTTAAAAAGCAGTGAATGGTATGTATATCTTATCTGGTGTTCAATGCAAAGGTGATGGTTTTGAAGGCAGTACTGTCTCGGAATTTCAAAGTCGCTGGTGTTCATGTTACATAGAGTACCACTTGGTGGTCACTTGGAAGGCGCTTCTACTTCTGTGTAACTTTCTTCTAGGTTGGGTATAAATATTCCTGGGAGGCTAAACAGAAATGCATTTCATTTAGATACAAGTCTTAGGCACGAGTTAGAAAACTGCTGACTGTAATGAAAATATATCAGCACTTAGTAGTATCCAATAATATAAAAAATGCAATTCAGAACATCTTCAACTACATATATATGTGTGTGCGTCTATATATAGGTATAAAGGTACAATACGTACATGTATATAAACACAGACACATATACAGAAATATTCACAACTTGAACTGTATTTGTAACTAACCTGAAATACTGCAGCAAAAGTTCATTCTGATGAATCATTAATATAGTATTTCCAACTTTTGGCTCTAACCATAGGTAAAACGTTAACACATCAAGCTAAACATTTTGCTATCCTAACTTCCTGCTGTTCTAGTCTTTTGCTATCCTTTTTGCTACCCTAATCAACATGTCAGAACCAAGAGCTCCTATGTGGGGACTGTAAGAGTACCCTGCCTAGAGTAAAGCTATGCAGCTACCAAGCATGCTTGTGGCCATGAACCCTGGGCGCCTGTTGATGGTAATACTTCCTAGGATGGTGACATTTAGCAGATTGGAAATGCATAAAAGGCAGGGGACCTTCGGCGCACAGGTGCCAAATCATCGCCGCAAGGTTCTGACTTTTGCTGGAGAGGAGTTCCCTGATGAGCAGCGATAAAAAGAAGTGGATGATGTGGGTGGGAGTTTCACGGGGCTCACGGCATCTCCCTCCTGCAGCTTCCAGAGGAGCTCTTCATTAGTCCTGCTCAGCTTCTTCTTCTCCTCCACTTCTTTCTCAACGTATTCTTGAAGATTGGCATTCTCCTCTGACAATTGCCTGGGGAGGGAAGCAGGACAACGTGTAAGGTGAACCAGCGTGAAGACGGTGGCATTAATGCAGCCAGTGCTGCACAAGAGGCAGGGCCAGGCAGGACCCTGAGCACCTCCCTCCATCCCATCCCGTCCCATCCCATCCCATCCCATCCCGTCCCAACCAATCCCAACCCCTCCCCCTGCCCCTAGGGCTGCAACTGAGCTGCCCAAGCTGGGGCACGTCTGTCCCCGGGTCTCTCCACTGCTGGGCGAGAAAGGCATCTCCACAAGTCACAGCTGCCCCCATGCCTAACTCTGCCTCCAGATGTGCCTGTGTCTTTCCTCTACACCTTTCTGAGGCAGCTCAGCTGCCAAAGCTTAGCTGGGATGAGCCCCAGCCTTTCTCCGTGACCTCATGCAACTGTCAGCATCATGCATGGCATGCAAAGGTGCTGAGGGCTTTGTGCATTGATCATGTACTCCAGACACTTTAGAAATGGCCATTTTCCCATATAGAAAACAGAGTAAAAATTGTAAATTCCTAAAAGAAAAATTCAGCATATTTGTAAGTAGGAAAAGTGCAAGGCTGCAGTGCACTGCAAGAACAGTATTCTCTACTCGTGGACAGAGGGGATGGAGAGGGTTACTGGCAATATAGGCCAAGATAAAGCGCAGTTGATTGCTCACTCTCCCCCTGCGCTGGCCTTCCCTGGGAGGACGTGGGTTTGGGAGCAGGGTAGGAGCTGAAGAGCGCTCCAGTGGTCGCCATGGTGGGCAACCAGGGCTGCAGAGCACACCAGCTCTGTGCCAGTCCCACACTCATGCCTAGCCTTGGCCACTGATGTCTGGAGAGGACTTCAGAGCTGGCCCCAGATACTTAGCCTGGGTAGGCACAGTGGTTTCAGACGTCCTCTTCTCATCAATACTTGCTTGTGGCTGAGTTGGTTTTGGCCATTCAATGAAGCTGATTGGGGCGTTATCTCCCCCATTCAGCACATGAAGGAAGCAGATGCCAACAAGGGGTTGTGGCCTCTTGTTGCAAAACACCACTGGCACAGTGGTGTTTCTACCTGGGAACCTGCCCATAATTCTCCATGGAGCCAAACCCACCCCTAGATGGAGCCCAGAGCCCTGCGTCAGCAGGCACTTGTGCTCCCTGCACATGCCACCCCTGGGCCAGGGCTTCTGTTCCTGCACCAGGAAGACAAGGGGCTTCAGAGATCAACCCAGCATGGGCTGCCCCAGCAATGGCACCCCTATAGGTAACCAATAAGCAGCACAAAGTGCAGGTGGGCTCCTTACATCCTGCTTTCTCCCTGGCTTCCAAGCCTGGCTCCTGCCCTGTGGCGTTTCACAACCCAGAGGTGCTTGCAGTGCTGCCCCATTTTTTTTCCAGAGCAGCACAGTAGCTGGGGCAGTCCTGAGAGGAGGATAGCTCTGGGGTTTATGCCTCCTTCTGTCTGATTGAAGACAAAAATCTGAAGTCCCAACTCCCAGGGGTTACATTTACAGCTGTAATTCTCACCCTTGTTTCTCAACTCTGCCACCAAAGCTGTGCCATCAGTGAGAGTGCGTTTGTGGAGTGACAGAGCAAGAACGAAGAGGTGAGAGAGAGCAATTGCATCCCCAATGCTTCAAACCAGCTGCTACTGCATGCAAAGGGAGAGGAGTATGCACGCTCCATACTCCCTGTTTTAGCTGATGCCTGATGTAGCTTAGCTTCAAGGCCTTTCCTTCCCTCCTCTCCAGTCATGAGGCTTTGGGTCCTTCTCCAGCTCCTTCCTCCTTGACCCTAACAAACCCTCTATTCCTGACTGCAGCACCAGGGAAACTTCACCAGCAAGGACCAGGGAGGTGTTTTCCCCAGCATACCCTATAACCTGATGACTTTTTTGGGGAGGTGGGGCATGGAAACCTCCTATGGGCACCACAACCTCAGTGAGTCTGCTCTCATCTAACCAGGTGAATGGTTTTAGACGAAATGGGGCAGTGGAGGCAGATTGTGGGCCCTGATCAAGGTGTGTTTTGAGCATGTTCTGGGAACGCCACCATCCCAGCGGATATGTGCAGGAACACTCTGCAGCCCCATTACGCTTGGGCAGGAGCCAGGTCCTGATGTGATCAGCCTGGGGCAGCTCTGAGCATGTACCTAACCTGATTTACAGGCAACTTGGGATTTTTGAGAAATAAACAGGGAGGCACCTAACCTCCCCACTAGGTATTTTCAGCATTCAGCAGCAGCCGGGTGTGGATTTTGGATGCATACACACACAGCTCTCTCTCTGGGTATAGCCTGAAGCCCATAGCAGATGCCATGGACTACTGGTCCACTCTCTTTGTGTCATCACAAGTCTCTGAGAGGGTGGGGTTGGCATTTCCAATTTTTTAAAAAAAAACATTTTTAAAGAATTTCTGCTTTTTTAGCCTTGGTTCCTACAGCAATGGAGTTCAGGTGATCAAGAATATGTCTGTTCTTCTCCCGCTCCCCTGCAAGTTTTGAACCATGAAGCAGTGGCTAGCAGAGGTGAAAGATTAAAAGACACAAGTTGGCAGAAGCTTTCAGAAAGCTGCTTGCTTGGTAGAGGAGGAAAATCCTATTTACGGTCTCATTCGGGAATTAGCTGTGGCATGAGCTCACGATCTAACAGGCATGAAAAAGTCCACATGGGATCTCACCCTGGAGAAATAACTCCATAGAAAACCTCTTGCTACTCATGGAAATACTTTTTCTTTTGCAGTATCTAACAAGACATGCCATAAAAGTTATACACAAAGCCCCACTGCATCCTTTTCCAGCCAGCATTCACTGAGAAAAAAAAAAAAAAAAAGCACGTCTTCCCTGCATTTGTGTGGCTTCTGGTGTGTGACTGGCCCTCTAAGCTGGTAGAGCTCATCTGGGTACTGGGAACAGGCCAGTCACACCAGCATGGACCTCAGAGCGTGGTGAGGGGCTCAGCTCCCTCCTCTGCTAAAGGCACTGCCTGGACAGGAGGCAAGCACAAACCACAGCCTCTCAGCGCGTATCAGCCTCCTTTACGCTGAATGCTGCTTGCTAAAGGGATGGTACGATGCATGGTATCACGGTGTCCTCTGGAGTCCCTCACACAGGAGCCTTTCTGGCCCTCATGCATGCTGCAGTTTGCTGGCAGAGGCAGAATGCAAGTTACAGGCATGGCCTGCAGGTAAGTAGGGAGATGCTTGAGTAGAAAAGAGCCTTGCAGCCAAATGCCCATAAACATGCCACAGAGCATGCAGATGTCCTCCGGAGAGACCTGCTTTGGCACATGGATGGGGAAAGGAGCTGCTGCTTGTTGCATCGCTTATTTTAGCTTCGTGCACATTGCACTGGGAATATATGCTGTGACACCTGATGTGATGTGGCCGGGCACAGGCAGACCCAGCTTCACGTCACTTGGAGACTGAGGCAGCTCGAGCAGCCAGCAGTGCCAGCATCCTTCAGCAAAGCCTCCGCCTTCAGCTCAGCCAACATGTGTCTGCCTCTGCTGCACCACGGGGAGGGAGATGGACAGAGGCAGCATCACCGCTTATAGAAGATACAGATGCCCATTCAGCCCCTCTTCACCATTCAGGCAGAAGAAGGAGGAGCCAATGTAAAAGCAAATGTGTTCTCACTGTGCAAGTTGATAACCTGAGATATGTGTTCCAGTCTTAGACCTAAGCCAGCTAGGGAAACCTTTATCCCCAGCACTGCAGACTCATGATCAGGTATGTTCCTCTGCCAGCCTCCTGACAATTTAAGCAGCTGTAACAAATCACAACCATAATACCACAGAGGTGTGCAGGGGTACATCAGTGTGATAGGGATGCAGGGGAAGGTGGCTTGAGTCACGCCCTTGACTCATGTTAAAGCCTCTCCCAAAAGGCCCATAGGCCAGTAGGTGCCTGGGCTATGCCAACAGAGACCAGGCACCCTCCTGGGCATCTCTAGGGTACTGGAAACTGCCATTCCTCAAACATCCCCAGTCCAAAGGACCAAAAAAAAGCTGGTTGATTTGGAGGGAGGACCCAAGATGCTGGGAAAACAGATGATATAGTCAAGCGCTTGGGGAAGCCCCAGCAGAGGCTCTGTAGAACTCCTGTGTCCAAAGCTGGTGCATGATTTACCTGCAAGGCTCTTCTCCCTTCCTTTGTACCTGCCCTTGGCTATCATTGGAAATATCTCTGTTTATATCTCTTCTCTTTATATTTTATATCTCAGGTTGTGACAAGGGTGCAAAGAGACTGCGGATGAAAAAACTTGCCAAAGGATAACCCTGCCTGGGTGACAGTGGCAATGTTAGGGTGTCTCTCCTGAAACTACCCCATTTCCCATCCTCATTACCCACTGACTAAGGGGTCTCAGGGCACTGACACTGGGATCAGAAGCCACTGGCAACTTTGCTCTCAGCAGCATGTCAAAATCACAGAAACACACAGAGAGATATGTGACCTTCCTTAAGTTAAAGTAAGCAAACCCTGATATAAAAATGATTTTTTTTAATAAAACAAGAAGATCAGGACACCAATTACACTCTCAGGAGGAAATAAGTTTTTCCCCTTCTGAAATAAGTGCCAGCCTTGGGCAGTTAAGATCTGCAGTCTCCTGTCAAGCTGAGACAGATTGCAAATATCAGCACAAACCTTGTTATGACAGTATTTTGCTCAATCCTGGCTCTGAGTTCTTCATTCTGCTGTTGCAGCATGGTGATTTTTTCTTCCAGTTTTAAATTTTTCTCAGCCTGCAATGAAAGAAGATTTGTTAAGTCTGAAGAAAGCCCAATGCCTGATCCAAGAGGGTTCATTCTTTATCTTTATTTGTCCCTAGAGCAACTTCTAACATTTGAGGACAGATGGAGATGGTCGTCTTGACTGCAGCTGAGACTGAGAGGTCTGACTCACACCACGTCATACTGGTGAAGTAAGGGGGGTCACCAGCACAGCATTGAGCAGAGGCAGAGCTGAACCAGCCCTTCCTTCTAACTGAGGAGGAGGAGAGTCTTAGTCTTGTCCAGCACAAGTAAAACATCTTCCTTGGTGGTGCCTTCACACCTTTCATCCCTCTGGAGCCAGCGTTACCAGCCGCTGTTCCCTGACAGGGAGCTGGTGGCACTTGGGGAGCATGGGGATGCCCAGCGTGGAAAGGGCACTGTGGTGCGGGTGGTCAGTCTAGAGATGAAGGAGGAGTGCAGTGGGGTATGATGTGCATCATCCAGCTCAGCTAACCTCCTTGGGCATAAATGTCTGGCGTCCAACCTCTAGTGTTGTGATTCCCTGGTTATGGGGAGGAAAGAGTTACCCACCAGGGCAGATTACACCCAGCAGCAGCCTTAAACTGCTGTTGCATTCACACGAGGTGGGCTGCCCTTTGGAGACACTCCACTGCTGACAGTGTCAGCTTAAATGACAGGCTTAAACTAGACATTTAACTTTAAGCTACAATTAAGTGAAATAAATCCTATCCCAAGCTTAGGTAGCTTTTACTCAGGACAGTTCAAGGGCAGAGTTTGAGGATATCAATAGCGGTGTGTTAAAACATCAGTAAGATGTTTATAGTCAGGTACCATGGCCTCAGATGCCCTGTTTTTCCCAAGTTTTGAATTTGACATACTTTATCACCCTAGTTCTTGGTTTTCCAACAGTTTGAATTTTGCTGAATTCAACACTTTTGGAAGAAAACAAGATATCACAAGGGCAACCTTATCTCTGTGTGAGCTTGGTTATTGAATTTCTCAACCTTTTATAAAGAAGCAAAATACTGTGCACTGGACTTAGCAATAACTCACACCTTATGGTGGAGACATCAGTTTTATGCAGTGGTTTCCAGTCTATGCAGGTAAACATAAAGGATGCTCCTGATTCTCAGATATTCTGGCCTATTCCAGTAGGTTTTGCTATAGCAGAACAAGGATTCTGGCCCCATTTTGAAATGCTCTGAGAGAGGAATCACCATCATGGGCACTTTCTCTGCTTCCTCAATAGTTTTAGTAAGTAGTAGCTATGCCAACATGAAGCATGGACTTGTGCCTCTCCTTCCCTCTCCACTGCAACCCCCACCCTAAACCACTCCTCCCCTGCCACCTTTCATTTCCAGGCTCCCTTTCAGCAGACAAGGAACCAAGCCTGACCCTGTATTTGAAATGGTCTCCTGCTCCCTTATGAGGCACCCCATCTTGCAGAGCATTTGGAGATGCCCTGTAGATGTTCTGGCACTCATAAAGGTAAGTCTTTTAAACAGAAAGCACTTGTGCCTTTGGACCACAGGCGGGCCAGTGTTTTACCATGATAAAGGGCAGGAGCAGGGCTGTGTGTGCTCGTATGTGGTTAATTAGCAAAAGCAGCTAAATGACCAGGAACCATGTAGGCTGTTGTTTATTTATTTTTTTTTTTTTCAGTATAACACTACAGTGCATGTTTTCATATGCCGGCTTAGCTCCAGGAGCAGCATGTTGGAAGGAGCACAGTTAACAAGCCTCAGTTGTAAAGAGGCGCTTTTCTCTACAACCACTTACTCAAGCATCTGTTCAGCAAAATAATCATCTGAGTTCCCAAATTTCCCTGCAAATGGAAACAAATCTTGCTGAAAGCTGCACTGAGCCAGCTCTCCTGGCTCCCCAGCTGAGGCAGTGCCTCATCCTGCCACCATGCTGTACATTTACTGTCACTGGAGGTTATGCCTTACAAAATCACCTTACAAAAGGGTACGCCTTTCAAAATCCCTTTCAATAAAAAAATGTACTTGATGGTGAACTGGGGAGTTCTTCATTAGGGACCCCCCCACAAGCACAGGATGAGAGAATAGGCTGTAGAAAAGCATTACTTCAGGGTTGGAGAGACCTTCCCTGGTGTAAGCCTTGCTAGGGACTGCTTGCTGAATATTGCTGATTCATACTCACAGCTGGGAGCTCCCGAAATGCCTGCATGAGCAGCAGCAAGGCACACATGACTCAATCTTCCTTCACTTGCCCTCTCCAGCCCTAAATGATTACCTGACTCCTGTAGGGGCATACGGTGCAGGCTGGTGTGCAAAATGAAGCCCTGGAGTACCACAAAGTTCCCCTTCCTCCATTCATCCTACAACACCCACCTTGCCATCTAACATAACAGGCTGAGCGGGTATTGCATGAAAAAGATCAATGGATGTTTGGGAGAAATCAAGGGTATTATGGGTGGGTGAAGGGATGGGGAAGATCCCAATTTCTGAGTGAAAACCTGAGACATGGCATAGTAGAAGAAACTGTAGGTTGACAGTGGAACAACACAATGTACAGTCATTTATGAACCTCTGACTGTGTCTTGCCCCAACCTCATGTGTTTTCTCACCCCTCTTATGTCCATCTGCTGTAGCCAAACTTTTACTTTTCTACCCCTGTGATGTCTCCTCTGAACTCACCTGTTTTTCTAGCTCCATAATCATCTTCTCCTGTTGGTGAATCTGATGGTTCTTCATTTCCAGAACATGTTTTAAGCTCTTCAGATCTTTTTCTAAGTGCAGGTATGGAGCTCGTACAATCTAGGAAACAAACCAGTGATTTGGATATCTGTCAGCCATAAATGCATCTTCAGCCATAAGATAAAGTTTCCTCAGCGTAGCCAGTGGTTTAGGAGTCTCAGTGATGTGAAAACCACCTGGATCTGGGCCTCCCCAGCCCATCTGAACCCCAATATTCTCTCCTAGACCAACCCTTTGGCTGGGTAGCCGAAGGTGCCTTTCTTTTGACCAGCCTTGTGGCTAGAAGGACTGGATGCCAGGTTGTTCAGCAACCTCATTCCTACTCATAGCTTGGGAACCGCATGAGATGTTTTATCATTGTGCAGGGATTTTGGCTTGGGAAAAGTACAAACGTGAAACTGAGGAAACTGGACAAGGGGCCCAGAGGTGAGAGCTACAGCGTTCTGCCTTGCTTGCACCACTGCGTGACGGTGCCTGTTAACAAAGATCAGATCTGCTGGGAAAAAGTCCCTCCTCCGCTTGAGAACTTCAGCTGTAGGGGATACCAGGGTTCAACTCATGGGCAAAAGATGTGCTCTGAATTATACTGATGAAATACTCTTGCTGACTTCAGCTGTTCTGGATTTTTCCCAGTGTAACTCACTCCAGAGAACTGCCTGGTGGTACTTGGCACTAACAGCACTGTGACACAGCAGAACTTGTCCTTTCATGTAAATTAAATACTGCGGTGGAGGTGGAAAGGGACTGGTGCTACCCATTTCCCACGGCCAAGCCTGTTTCAAACATTTGTGCTCCTTTCCTAAGGAGTTTGCTCATCTAAAAACTCACTGAGCTCCCCTCGCACACCCCACTATTTTCAATCTGTCCCCTCTGTCATGTTGATACAGCTGCCCATGGGGCTGGGCTGTGAACACAGGGAAATGCCCCAAGTTAAAAGGAAACTCTTTATGGAGGGTCATTTCAGGGTCATTTCATTTCAGATAAATAATTGCAGTGTGTGTTTACTTACACACTGTAAATAAACAGCATGGCCCCAATAGACAGCAGTTGAATAAATATTTCGTATGACAGGGCTGTCCCCTGCAAGTCCAGAAAAAAATGAGGGAATGCAGAGGGCATCAAAGAAGTTGGTTCAGAAGCCACAAAAAAAGAAACCTAAATGTGAAAAGACAAAAAGTAAACAGAGAGGAAGAAGGGAAAGAATAGACAGCAGTAAGGACATAACTAGCTGGAGTTAATGAAATGTTTTGGAAAGAGAGCTACAAATGCTGGGTGAAAGAATAAAGAAAAAGAAGGAAACTCAGAAAACGATGGACCTAGGCTAAGATTTCTGACTCCTCCTGAGAGCTCAAGACCTGGGGTCTCAGCTGGGACCAGCCTCCCAGCCCCTGGGGTAATGATCCCATTGCTATCCACTGAATCATGTGATGCGAGTCGTACTTAGAAACGCATATCTTGATGACCGTATAGTTATAGCTGCCATCTACCTTCAGTTGTTCCTCGGTGTTTTTCTTCAGAGCCTCTTCAAATCGGTCTGCTTTGGCCTTAAGAGAATGGTTCTGGAAGGTGAGGGTGTCTATCTGGTCCTGGAGGGGAGACACATCTATGAACACACCAACCGTGTTATCACCCCTCTGATGTTCATACAAGTCAATGTGCACAGTGAAACCACCAGGGGAGCTGAACAAGACTTAGAAATCCCCACAAGGTGCTGTTTTTTACATAAGGCCGCTTGAACATACAGTGGGGTTTTTGATGATAACTCAGTGCTGCAGGGAACCCCAAAATCCCTGCAATGCCGGCAGCTGGCTGACACTGGCTGGCACTACTTCATGAAATGTCTTTGATGCTAAATGACCGCATCTCCTTGGGCTGGATGAGAATGAGCATGTCCTTCTTTAGGAGAGCTGGCATTTATATCACAGGCATGAAAGAGATCGTTTGTGCGGTCCTTAGAGTCTGAATAAGGCGGGAGATATCCCATCCTTGCTTGCTTCACCTTCCTAGGCTTCTAACATGGTAACAAGCAATGACGAGTGAGTGGTGTGGACTTTGAATGATCGTCATTCCATCTCAGAGCAATACGCAGGAACAACATGCTATTTTAAGCAATCATATTTCTGTTACCATCAAAGGCATTCCTTTTACCTCTCTATACACAATATCTGTAAAACCCACAGTTGCTGTGAAACTGTTATTCTTCCGTATATGTAATTTCTTGGCTGTAACACATCAGTGCTAATTGCAAAACTGCTGACATGCCTCAAACTGTCACAGCCGCATGAGGAAGGCAGTGGCAGTTGCTGTGTGCAACAGTATGTGCTAGTCAGGGAGGTTTAAAACTGTAATTCATCTCTGCCTGTGAAATCAAGCAGAGCTTTCATTATTTGCTGTGGCATCTTGTTCACACAAGATTTCCAAACTTAGCGTGAGTCACAGGGGCACGCTTCTCCCCTCCCCTCCTTGGGGTTTCTTCATCTAGAGAGTGAGAACAGCATGGAGTTATTAGAAGGACTAAAAAAGCCAAGATGAACTTGAGCTTGGTGTTAAATAGTGAGAGATGTGATGTGCAGGGCTGACCCTGGCTGGCCATAGCCTGGCTGCACAGCTGGGCCAGCCCTGGGGCATCCCTCATCAAGGGCTGCATTGCCCACCGGTGGGAATGGAGGTATGTCTACACCGCAGAACCAGGTCCCCCACAATCAGGGAGAGGGGAATAATTTAAAGCACAGGCACAGGGCCAGGCAGGGAGAGGTCAGGATTTCTGAGCCCCAGGGGTGCCCACTGGAGGGTACCATGTAGACAAGGTGATGCTCACAGCCACCACAGGTGCCAGAGCTCTCCCCGCCATGCAGGGGAGAGCTCAGCTTTGCTCCTTGTGCTGGGCCAGCAGTCAACAGGGTCAAAAGGACCTTTCTTTGCTTTATCCAGCTGCCTTTTCTTCTCTTTAGGTTTGCCCTCTCTTCTCTTTCAGATAGTTAGCATTTTGCTGAACAAGCCAAGGGGGAGGTAAAACCAAAAACACCTGAGGGGGCACATTTGCTGCTAGATCCCGGTTTGGACAGGTGGAGGACAAGAGGTACCGTAGCTGGTAAGAAGCTATGCCCTGGTGTGCTGGCAGCTGGCAACAGGGCTGGGGCTGCCCCGTCAGCCGCTCTGCAAACATCATGACGGGGGTGGGAAATAATGAAACTGCTCACCTGGAGGGACAGCCGCAGTTTTTCAAAATTCTCTTCTAATTGTGTCTTTTCCAGTTTGTGAGCAGTATGCAGTTCTGGGGGGAGATACACAGACATGACATTGCTAAGCAAAGTCCAGCAAACCAGGGTCCAAGGGCACAGGCATCATGAGCCAAGTGCAATTTGGGATGCAGTTTGAGGGCATGGAGGTTGAGTAGGAAACTGGTAGTAATGTACTCTGTGACCTTAGGTGAATTGTTTTGAGGATCAGGATTTCCTGATCTTTCACTCCTTGTAAGTACTTCTATTTCTACGTGACCAGATTCTGATTTTCCAGAACTGCTCAGAATCCCCGGCTCCTGGGGGCTCTGATCTGAAAGGGGTCAGTCTGACAGTGGGTCATATACCAGATTGGAGTGAGTACCCCCAAACCAAAGAGTTTTAAATCAGATACAGTTAAAAGCTGGGGTTTCAGTTTCTTTGGGGAGATAGAGTGGGGGGCAGAAACTCAGATGACGCAAAACCGCAAATGCCGGTGCTTCCCCAGGAGCTGGGGCAGAGAACCTGTGGGGTTTATTCCATTAGTGAGATTGACAGAGCCCAAAGACGAAAGAAGTCCTCTATTTATATTACATGATTAAAGGTTTCACTACTAGAACAACTCACCCTGGACTTAATAATAACCATAATTTTAATAACCAAAGTGGGATAAAGTTTTATCTCTAAACCAATGGCGTCAAACTGTCATTCAGTACAATAGGAGCACCTACGTTCTTAGTATACGGACACTCTGTTCTTGGGGTCTTTGTGCCCAACCCCATGGGGTTCTGTCCTCTGACCATTGCTCACTGGCCCCAGTAACACCAGTAAGAGTACAAATGCTGTAGTGCCCTGTACAGCACACCAGACCGCAGGTGCTGCAATGCCTTTTCCATGCACAGGAGGGCATTTCATACCCGCACCAGGACTAGGGAGCACAAACTTTGGCCACCAGAACCTTGATAAACCACAGCCAAGCTTTATCATCAGGAAATGCTAAAAAAAAAATGGACAGATAAGAATATCCCCAAGCAAGGAACAGCTTTTAAAAATTTTTTTTTTCTTTTCAAAATTGTATATGTTCATTTTAAAATGGTATGCCAGGTACCATCTCTGCCTATGGGAGAGGGGAATAGACTGTTCTCAGCTCACGTTATGCTCTGGGCTGTCTCTAATTGGCACCGTGCAGAGCTAAGCAATACAGCTCAGTTTGGGGAAAGTTGTGGGAAAACCTTCTAGAGTCATTTAAAAATTAGACCCTTGTGCTTATGTGTAAAAAAAAAAAAAAAAGAGGGAAATTGTACAGATAACTGTCAAAGTCAGCTACAGCATGTACAAAGACATGTATTTAGATACTGAACTGGTAGGGAGAAAACATCTCTGTCTGCAGCATCGAATCCTGTGGACAAACCGTAACACAAAATAAAGATAACAGTGCTGAGGAGCAGGTCTGCACCAGTGTGTGGCGTTGGTCTGCTCAGCCTGGCCAGACTTTTGCTACTGAAGCTGATGAGTCTTGTTTTTAGAAGCAGTGTAGGCATTTAAGCACCTAAATTCAGAGATGTTCAATGAGGTTTGCGAGCAGCTGAGGATTAGGCTCTTGAGAAAAGTCTGTGTGTGAAGTGAGGTGGAATTTGGACTCTATGTTCAGCAAGTGATAGAGGAACCCTTATCTTTGGCCCAAAGGCCCCTCAGATAGTCTCAGGTCCAAGTTAGGTGCTGTACACAGTGCACACAGCTCTCCCTTGCCCCAAGAATGAACCTGGTGGTCCACCCCACATGAAAGCACTAGACCAACACAAATTTTCTGTATCAACTGCCCTGGAGGAAGAAAATCTGGGTTTACACAATCTCACTACAGTGCTAATCCCTGCTCTGGAATCGGATTGTCTTTGACTTACCTTGAATCTTGCAGTCATTCTCATCCTGCAGTACTGTAATGGCGACTATGTGGTTATTTTCCAGCTGTAACATTGCAGCTTCGTGTAGAGCTGTGATATCTTCCACCTGTTCCAATGACAATGAATGGAGACGTGGATGCACGATTAGACACGCCGCAGCCCTGCCAAGCCATGGCTAGAGAGCTCCAGTGAGCTGGAAACAGTAAAAGGATCTACCGAGCACGACACTTCCAGCACCTACAACAGTTTTATTCATTACAAAACAGGCATGTTGATGCCTTGAAGTCACTGCTGATAGCATTGTTTTTTATTTTAACTTAATGGTGATAAAAGAAGTGCATAAGAAAGCAAAAGGCCAAAAAGCCCTTAAGCAAAGAAGCCATTTATGAAATGTTCAGGAATCCCAACATTCCATTAATCTCAATTATATTAATGACCTGACTCCCTCTGACGGTCAGATAAACACGCACAGTTCTGAGCCATCCTGGTTTTTGTCTTCACGGCACTTTGCTGCAATGATTTTTATTGCAAGGTCTTGAATTAACTTCCCTGGCAAGTACCTATGAATTATTCATAGTTGTAAAATATTTATTTCTAGAGAACTATTGAAATTATTATCAGTGGGTATGTAAAATGAATCCAAATCTCTCACACTTCTACTTCTACTTGAAAAATCCGTCAATACCCAAATTCCTATGTCCTCTTGAATCATGTATTTTGAGTCCACATCCAATAAGCTGATGAAAGACATGACAGCACCTTTTCCAGTGCAGACACAAGAGTTTTCAGGTCAGTGTGGAAGTAAGCAAGATGACACTGAAGCCACAAAACTTTTCCCCGATCTCATACTGAGGCCAGGAAGAGGTCCTGCTGCTGCAAGTTGCCCAACAAAGTGCACCGCACGCCACACGGCAGACGGCTGTCACGGGAGCAGGGGATGCTGTCGGAAGAGGGCTGCGGGCAGCCTGTGTTCCTGTGCACCCGATGGCTTTGGGACTCCTTCGGTACATTGTTTGTTACTAGGCTTGGCTAACGGAGAAGCAAGATTCCTAATGATGACATTTTGATATGCACCATTAAAGAAAATACAATGAGAAGTGGTGATCGAGGTTAAGTCAGTGGTGCACAGCAGTTTCCGAATGCAATGCACTGATTTGCTTTCCTGGGCTTTGCAATCACAGTGATCTTATTTGCTACATTTAAGACATTATCTGTGATATCTGGCAATGCAGAGGATCAAACTATTTTCCTTTTACTAAGAAACAACTGTTCATTGCAAAGTGACTCGACTTTAAACAGCTTTTTTGCTCACTGTTATGTTAAACAATGGCAGAAAGTTACTGCAGCTGAGCATGTCTTGACTGGAATAAATGTTATTACACTGCATTTAACTGTCAAACATATGTGTTAGATTACCCAACAGAAGCAAAATTTCCAAGCATATTGGAGAAAGCATGCTCTTAGAATGAAAGATAGGCATTTAACATGGAATTTAAAATTATCCAAACTCATTTTCATAATAATGTGGGAGACAACTTGGTGGCGAAGAACTGTTTGGAAAACAATGGGGGCTCAGCCTGCTGATATATGGCATGGAAGAGCAGGGAAAGGGCAGCTAGATGACTCAGTGGGCTACTAATGGGCTAGGGACCATCACTTGACTTTTCCCAGAGCACGATGTCCTTGTATATGATGTCTGTGCGCTGAAACCCCATGGGCATTGCCATGTTCTTTACCTCACCCTTGCTTAAGTCTTTATTCATACTCTAATTGCTTCTCAGCTTAGCAGCACCGCATAGGAATCATTATGCTCAACTCCAATGCCTTCAGAAGGTGAAGGGGTCTCCTTCCGCTGCTACCATCCTTGGCAGGTAATTTATCTATAAAGCCAATTAAATATGTTCCAAATGGTCTTCAGGGATTTTTCTGTCCTCTGTTTGTTTCATATCTACATCCCAAACGACTCTTTCTAATCTTCCAGCATGACCTCCTGTCTGCAATTTTTCATAGCAGACAGCCTACTTGGCACTGGGAAGCAGATCTCTTGGATGTGAATTCCAGCTTCACTACTAACTTACTCTACAGGCTTGATCAACTCACTTAACCTGTATCATGGTTATTTCTGGCTTTAAAAAGCAGCTCAGGTGGGATTTTTAAGGCTTAATAAAGTATAATCAAGAGGAGGCTCTAGTGGGAGAGGTTCAGTAAGTTGGTGGACAAAACAGCTTGAGCTGAGCCGCTCAAGCAAGAAACACCAGCAAGCCGGGATTGCAGCCTTTACTTTGCCATTTGGCCCTTAGCTGCAAGGAGATATGAGAAATATTGGGATGTGCTGGCACACATGAGTGGATGGTGAGAAGTTTGGCTCTCATGCTCTGCTATGCTGAAAGAGCTGCCTCACCTCCTTGGAGACAGCTGAGCCCCCAAAACCTGACAACTGTATATCTAAAGAAACAACAGCTATCTGATACCAAACTAAACAGTGATTACAGCAATGCTGTGTGGAAGGCTACACTGTGACTGGAAACCATGAAAGTGGGGCGACTAACTTCTGAATTAGATGCTGTGGACACAGAAAACCATGCAGGTCCATGGTTAGAAAGATTTTGCTGTTGTTATTGCCTTCCTGAATGCAAGCTCCAATTCCCCCATGCAGATGGACAGCTCAAGGACAAGGCTTTTCTCAATGTCCAGCATGAGAGCTCTTTAGCTCATGGGTTAGGTGCCTCTGCTCTAATGCTGTCTGGGACCAGCGCCAGCTCAGCAGCATCAGGGCTGAATGACTCCAGTCCCTCAAGCAGGCTTTGCTCATTTTGGCGTGCTCTGAGCTGGGCACTTCTCCTCTTCCTCCGAGCAGGGAGAGGAAGAACCAGAGGATGGCAAACTCTTTGGGTCAGCAGCTTTTAGGGATCCTTATTCCTCATGCACCTTGGTTCCTGGACTAACAAATTTCTCATTTTCCTTGCCAAGAAACATTGCTGGTGAGTAGCTTTCCAGCCTGGCCTGTCAGCTTCCTCCAACACAAGAGCGCTTGACACAGGATGGGTGTGTGGCGGAGTAGGAATTGAAAGTGAAAACCTCCTAAAACTTATTATGAGATGCTAACAGAACCACGGGTTGTAAAGGTGGGCTTAAACTCTGAGATATTAGGGTCACAGCAGCACTTTCAAAGCAGTGGAGAGAAATGTTTGTGATTCAGTAATTCAGGGAACAGAGTTCTGGAGACCAAAGGGCTGGAGGAGAGAGAACTGTTTACCCCACAGAGGGAAAGATGTTTTTCCATTGCTTCTGTGTGGTGATGAACAGAATCACAATAGATAAGAATATGAGAAAAATAAGTATATTTCTAGCAAGTCCTATGGTGACCTCTATCACCATTTCTTGCACTGATCAGCTTGAAGGGAAAACCCCCACAGCCTGTTCTTGTGGGTCCTGGGAGCTTACAGAAACACTTCAAAGAGTAGCAGAGGTAAGCCATAAATTGTCTCAGCAAAAAACTAACTCGCGGAACAAATCCCCTCACGAATGTTAATGCCTGGGGATCCAGGAGAGGCAAGGCCTGCAGCTAGAGCTAATGCCTTCTACTAAGCAAGCTGACACACTGACACGGTGGAAGGAAAAAAAAAAAGTGAAGGCTTTTGGGAACACCACTCCTCCTTCATATCAGAAAGCAAAGCAGAACATTTCAGGGGCGTTGCAAGAAAACCGTCTTGCATGAACTGGAATGAGAACCGAAAGACATGGCTCAGCACAGATCCTAAGCATTTACAGCGAAAGATTTTGAAAAACCTGGTTTAGAAGACAAAAACCTATGTAACAGCACCTTCTAATGCATCTTTGAAAATCAGTGCACTGCACTAACAGAAGAAGGTGGTTTATCCCGGACAAAAGAGCCCAGTCACATACAGCCTCTGTGTTGCACATTACAAGCCTGCAAATCAGTAACAACTGGCAGACACAGCAATTAAAATAGGTAAAATCCAGCGAGAGTTCTTCAAATGCTCCCCACTGAAGAATCAAACCAAATTGCTTGGCAGTACCCCAGGGTGGCACCCCAGGGCAGCAGACACACTGGGGCACGGGCTGGGATGCCGTCTGCATGTCCAACATAGCTGTCCGACCCACATGCCAGTGAGGACCATGCTGTGCCTAGCCCCGGTGTGCCACTGGTGTTACACAATAAATCCAACACCAGGCAGTTGTGACATGAGTGACATAAAACTGTCACCACCTCGGTTTCTACTTGCACTCCTGTCCAAGGAGTGCTTTACAGTACGTCAAGTACAGGCAGTAAGTGGTGTCATTTCCCTTTTTACTAATAGTTGACCTTAAAGACAGTGGGTTGCTGTCTCTGCCATGCTGTTTTGGTGCTCTCCTCTCCCGTGAGCTCAGTGCAGGTTGCCCCTTCCCTGGCTCCTGGAGGTGCTTTGGCTATGCCACACAGTGCTGCACCAGCCTTTACCTCTTAAATGGACTAAATCAGCTTGGGCACAGGCTCTGCTGATGGGGCTGGTTTGCTTCTGAGCCCACAGCACTGTCCTTGGGAACACGGGGCATGTCTGAGGTCTGCACCCCGCTGCAGCACCTGCTGTCAGCCTGCGCCCCGGGCTCCGGCACCGGGGAGCAGCAGCTCTGGAGCCGCGGCCACAGGCTGGTTCAGGCAGCAGCCCCAAAGGGCACGCTGGAGATACTCTGAGGTACAGAGCATGCATAAAGCTTTCTGGTCGACCTTTGGTCACATCCATCCAGCTCACAGACCTCATCTGCACTGCTACTGTTGCTGCCAAATTACATTGCTTCAGGGAGTGAAAAATTCACCCTCAACCTCACCTCCAGCTGCCCTGGGCATTGGCAAAATCCCCCCATCTGGATAGAGTGATGCTGGCAAATGGGGTCTGTTGGCTGGGCTCGAGTTTTGGGGATGGCTGGCCCTTGTGCTGCACCAGACGCCCGGGTGGGATACCCACGGCAGTGGAGGCTGTGGCATGTCAGAGCCTGACGGATTGCAGAGTGCAACCTGAGTGCAGCAACAAAGCTGGTGAGGGGTCTGGAGCACAAGTCTGATGAGGAGCAGCTGAGGGAACTGGGGTTGTTTAGCCTGGAGAAGAGGAGGCTGAGGGGAGACCTTATCACCCTCTACAGCTGCCTGACAGGAGGCTGTAGTGAGGTGGGGGTTGGCCTCTTCTCCCTGGTAATGGGCGATAGGATGAGGGGAAATGGCCTCCAGTTGCACCAGGGCAGGTTTAGGTTGGACATTAGGAAAAATGTTTTCAGTGAAAGGGTTATCAAGCATTGCAATGGGCTGCCCAGGGAAGTGGTGGTGTCCTCATCCCTGGAGGTATTTAAAAGATGGGCAGACGAGGTGCTTAGGGCCATGGTTTAGTGTTGGGATGGCAGGGTTAGGTTAATGGTTGGGCTTGGTGATCTTAAAGGTCTTTTCCAACCTAAACAATTCTATGATTCTATGATACTCATGTGAGAAAAGCCCTCATGAACTGTGGTACTGGGCAATGGGTAAGAGTTGCAGCTGGAAAAATCAGAACTGTATCCACTGCTCACTGAGTGCAAAATGAGAAAAGGCCAGGTAAAGGCATTATTTCCATAATCTAGAGCGGGGTATTTTGCCACCCTGTGAGAGGTGCCCATTGGTGAGTTAAACTGTTTGTTCATTCCAGCTGTTAAAAACAAGGCTAAAGGAGCTGCACATGAGAGTATTCCTAGCTGCATACAGAAAGCAAAGCAAGGAGAAACACTTGGGATGTACAATCTAAGAGATGAGTCTGAACAGTGGAGCAGAAATCAGGGAACCTGGTGTGTATCACCTGCTTGATGTTTAGGCTACGTGTTGCATGGGCCCTATTGCTTCACTGCACCCCCTTTAACCAGCATTGCAAGTAACGGTGGGCAGGGCTCTGCTGGCCTTACCTGTGGTGAGCAGATTCTTGTTCATATAAATTGACTACAATAGCTGGGCTGGGGAGCAAGTATGTGTGGAGAGCAGAGCCAGTCTTAATATTTGTGTCGTGAAACGTCTGGAAACATGTGAAGACAAGACATGGCAATGTAATGTACTACTATGTAGAAATACCAATAGGAATAATAGGGAGGAAAAGCAGTAAAGGTAGTAAGGAATATATTTTTCCAGTCATCAATTCATTACCAGTGTCTTCATGTTGGAGTGTGCAATATATTTCATTACCTGAGCCCATTCAGTACCGGCACAGTCTACTCTTCAAAGGGAACAGGCAGAGACTGACCTGATCCTGATGCTGCAGTTTGACTTGCTCCAGCTGCAGCCTGTGCTGCTCCTGCAGGCTCTCCCGCTTGGTGTTGTACTCGTCCTGCAGCCGCTGCTCCAGCACCTGCAGCTCCTCCTGCTGCTGCCTGCGAAGCTGCTTCACCTCCTCCTCAAAGCGCCTCTCCAGCTCCTCCTTCTCGCTCTGCAATTTCTTCCATCTCGCTGCATTGAGGGCTGTGGAGACAAGAGCGTACAGTCAGGCTCTGAACAGCTCCGGAGCAAACAGTGGCATCAGGTCTGTTCGTACAGTGCTGAGCACGGTGGTTCTTGCCAAATCTGTGGCTCCCATGAATCTCAGCCATCAACAAGATCTCCCTGTCACTTCTCTCTCTGTCCTGCTCTCTCACACACACATGCACACATGCATTTGTCTAACTAGAGGTGCTGGCAGAGTATGCAAAAGCCCATTGAAAACTGGGATCTGGTGAAGTATGATAAGGATGATGATGATGATGATGATGATGATGATGATGATAATAATAATAATAATAATAATAATAATAATAATAATAGGGAACTCCATGGATCTTCAGGGTGACTGGGTGTTCTCTCCTGACCAACACAGTCTTGGAACCACAAATTGAAGCTTCAGGGCTTTTACTTTGCCTTGGATGTGAGACAATCACTTGACAGAAAGCCTTTCAACTAGGATACAAGTTTTTCCTTATCTCCTCCTTTCAAGCTACAGTCTTGGCTAAGTCCCCTCTTCCAGTGATGTGCCAGGAAGGCAGGAGATGACTGGGCTCTTGCGGCACATCCTGTGCACATGTTATGCAGGATGTGTGATTGACCACTTGACCAGGAGTAGGAATTGCATCTCATACGTACATTTTCCAGCTGTTAGAAGCTGCTCACCCCACAAACCTGTCTTTCACACCAGCTCTGTCAAGGACCTCTTTAATCAATTAACACACACCTGCTTAAAATATCTCGATATTCAAACCACTATCTTGCGTGCCTCATGGAATTAGAGAGCACAAATCAAACTGGAGGCAATCAGAAAACCTGGAAATTTTACTCTTGTGAACTAACCCAATGGCCATGTCTCTGAATTCACAACCATCTCTACAACTAGTGTCAGGAAGCGCAACTGCAACAGTTCTATCAAGTCAAGGATATTCAGTCTGTTTTCCCATTTGGTTCCTCACCTATATTGTTCCCCAAGTCCCTGGACAGCAGTGTCCCAAAACACTGTGTCCTCAGCCTTTTGCTTTCCTAAAGAACGGTTGCAATCAATCCAGATATTGAAGACCTGATGCAAATTGGACAAGGTCAGCCAGACTACATTTAGAGAACAAGTTTGCTCACTTGCAAAGATCTAACAGGCAAGAAGTGATTAAATTCATCATGACCATAACATTCAGAACAACACTAGAGATGAAGAGTGTGTTTTTAATGGCGCTACTAGACCTTCTTTCTGATTTAGACCCATAGCTGGTTTAGAAAAATGACCATCTTTTGAATATATCACCTATATTAGCCACTCATTCTTCCTTTGCCTTTCAAAATGCACGTGCCACGCACAGACCTGTATGGCGTTGTAAATCAGTGAACTGGAAGCAGCCGTCTCCCTGGGTAGACAACTTCTGAATGTTTCAAACACATATTTATCCTATGACTGCTGTCTTATATTTGTTCAATGTCTGTTGCAGAAAAACCCATGTTTTCCTATCTCTTTCTACTATGGCATCAGACTGTCCTCATTTGTTTTTTTTCAGGATAGAAACAATTTTCAAAGTTACCTACAGCTGTGACCACTGATCACATTAGGTGCATCCACGCGAGGTAGTTTGCGCACCCAAGCTAACCATCCCCTTCCCCACACAGCTGTTTTTCACCCTGTTTAGAGCTCTGCTTCCACACTTACTGGACAACAATATCCAGACTTGCTCAGTATGTCCACACGGATATCGCTACTGGGGTCCTGCTCTGATCCTGATGTTTTCTGGAGCACTAAGAGGGACTTGGTGTCCCTTTCAAGCTCTATAGCTCCTTAAAGAAAGAGAGAAAGTCAGCCTGAACCAGTGAGCTTAGCACCGCAGCAGTGGCACAGAGAAAGCTTTCCCGCCTGCCTCATACCCAAAATGGAACAGTGTGATTTATATGGTCATTAGCTGAAATGTCTTCTCTCTTGGCAGTTTGGATTATAGTTCTAAACCCTCTCCCTTGCTTTTTCATTTTCTTCGACTTCCAAAGTGATCCCAGAGCTGGAGGACAAGGGATAATGCTTGCAGCTCCGCATTCAGCAGAATTCAAACTTACTCAGGCTTTAAATTGGAGCTGTAACGAACCCCATCTCTCTTCAGCTTCTCTAATGAGATTACCCAGCACACAGGAAGGGATGGGCAATGAAATCATAGAATCATAGAATTATTTAGGTTGGAAAAGACCTTTAAGATCATCAAGTCTAACTGTTAACCTAACCCTGCCATCCCACCACTAAACCATGTCCCTAAGCACCTCATCTGCCCGTCTTTTAAATACCTCCAGGGATGGGAACTCCACCACTTCCCTGGACAGCCCGTTCCAATGCCTGATAACCCTTTTGGTGAAGAGATTGTTCCTAATGTCCAACCTAAACCTGCCCTGGTGCAACTGGAGGCCATCACCGCTTGTGCTATCGTTTGTCACTTGGGAGAAGAGACCAACACCCACCTTGCTACAACCTCCTGTCAGGCAGTTGTAGACGGCAAAAAGGTCTCCCCTCAACCTCCTCTTCTCCAGGCTAAACAACCCCAGTTCCCTCAGCTGCTCCTCATCAGACTTATGCTCCAGATCCTTCACCAGCTTTGGTTGCCCTTCTCTGGACACACTCCAGCCCCTCAATGTCCTTCTTGTAGTGAGGGGCCCAAAACTGAACACAGTATTCAAGGTGCGGCCTCACCGGCACCAAGTACAGGGTAAGGATGACTGCCCTGGTCCTGCTGGCCACACTATTCCTGATGCAAGCCAGGATGTCATTTGCCTTCTTGGCCACTTGGGCACACTCCTGGCTCATATTCAACCAGCTATCGACCAACACCCCCAGGTCCTTTTCCACCATGCAGCTTTCCAGCCACTCTTCCCCAAGCCTGTAGCATTGCATGGGGTTGTTGTGACCCAAGTGCAGGACCCGGCACTTGGCCTTGTTGAACCTCATACAATTGTCCCCGGCCCATCAATCCAGCTTGTCCATAACCCTCTGTAGAGCATTCCTACCCTCGGGCAGATCAACGCTACTGCCCAATTTGGTGTCTGCAAATTTGCTGAGGGTGCACTTGATCCCCTCATCCAGACCATTAATAAAGATATTAAACAGAAATTACATGCTCTAACCAAAAGAAAGTCCATCTGAAACACTTTCTGTAACCTCAAACACAAAACTATTCACATGTTGCAAATCAAACCCTGATGCAGGTGCAAAATGGAAAGAAGAGAAAAGCAGAGAAAGAGCGTCTGCATGGCCCATTCCCCACACACCCAAAAATGCTATTGGAGGCAGAGAATGAGGCTGTTGCCCAGGAAATTTGCCCTATACTGAATATCAAACACCTCTAAGAAGAAGGAGTGATCCCTACCACAGTCTCCCAGATCAAGACAAATGAGGCCATCTTCTCAGACAGGAGACGAACCTTTGGGCCTGGTTCTACTGGGACAGAAGTCGCAGAAGGTGACACCCATGCAGCCCAATGGAAGGTCTGTGGCCCCCTTACTCAGCTGGGGAGCAGGAACCAGCATGGAAGAGCCTGCCTTGCTGGAGCCAGCATTTAACCAGCTGCGGCTGAATTGCCTCCAACAGATGCCTGAACAGAAGACCTGCTAATGTTGCTGGAAAACAGGGACTTTTGCTTTCAGTCATCGGGATATGGATACTGTAAAAGTGAGCTCCCCTTGCAGGAAAAAAGAAAAATCAGTAGGAAAAGTAATATAAATGCAATACTGGCGTGGAACAAATGGCACAAGACAAACAGAGCACAACTGCTATCAGCTGCTATTGAGAAGAGTTACACCCCGGGTTTCTTTTTCCTTCTCTGTAGGTATTTCAGTTGCTGCTTACAGACTGGAAATGACTCTGATGTAACATGGTGTTTCCCAGGGTGACGGCGTGCTGGGTTAAACGAGAGCGGCTGCCATCACTTCCCTAATCCCCGAATGGCTTTTACAGTGCGCAACAGATGAGCCAAACCCATCTCAGGCCAGGCTGGGAAGGTGAGGGAAAGGGAGGTGTCACTAATGGACTGATCTTCCTGCACATTCCCAGCCTGAGCTGCAGCCCAGCTGCCCCAGCCCCGGCGTTTTGCACTCCAGGGGTTAACTCCCGTGGGATCTGGTGAGGCTGGTGTCATGCAGCCTCACATAGGGACCATCTGCTTCTGACATGAGGAATGGGCTCTTTGCCCCAGAATGATGGCAAACAATGCAGAATCTGCTCTTCCTCCTGGCCACAGATTCACTGACAAATCACAGCCACCTCACTCAGCTTAAGGGTCCTCTGCCTGGAAGGCATATCCAGGAAGATGTGGCACACAGGATTTGGCTTTCTAATGCTCGTGAACACAGATAACACAAACTTTAAACTTGGCATCAGATCATCTTCCATTCATCTAGGTTTTTATGCATCTCCATACCTCTTCTCTACTCACTTCACGTGTCATTTGTCTGACAGCAAAGGAGCAGGTAATTTTGACATTTAATTTCCATTAGTTTGAAGGGAAACAGCTGGTGTTCAAAAACCTCTTTATTCCAGAAGTCTCAGTGTTGCAGCTGAAAAGTGCTTATATTTATAATTTATGAAGATGGGTGGAGAATGATTGCTTGTCATGTTTTTCTAGCCTTGGTATTCCTAGCAGATTACATGTGCAAATCTTACTGCATTAAATAACAGGTTCCTCAACGTTTACAGAGGCCACATTCCTTCTCAGGGCTGGGAAGGGGGAAGCACTTTCCTATTTCACTGTGTGCTGGTTTTAGATGAGGTGCAATACTTCACTGCAGTGCTGGGGATAAAGGTGGATGATGTTATCCAAACTTTTGCCTGCCTCCAGAAGGGTGCAGGTCTCCCTAGGCTGTTTTACACATGCTCCGTTACTGCTATTGCTTCAGCAGTGGTTTCCTTAAAAATACATTCTGACTTTTCCCAACAGTGGATTATATCTTGCACTATCATTGCTTCGTACAGTGGAATCCTGAAGCTTCTGTTGAAGTTAACAAAGACTGTGTGCTTTAAAAACCAAGCACATTCAGCACCTAAATCATGATTCTAAATTAGAGCTATTGCCTAAACAAATAAATGTTGGACACACTGCCGGTATCAACCCTGGCCAGTCCAGCCTTGTTTTACTGATTCATCCAGGCATTTGCTTCAGTGAGTCCGACACTGAATTTACACGTGAGAAATCAGGAATTTCTGACCAACACCCATGATGTTTAACTGGGCTGGTTATTTTTAAATTAATGAGAGACTACTTAGCAAAGTGTTTGAGTCAAGCCAGAACTACAACTTGGTCATAGTCAAAATAACATGCTCTGTAGATTTTCCCTAAAATTCTTCATAGAATCACCTGTGATTCCTGATTCCTGTTGTCATCTAAATGACTGTTTCATTCTTTATTTGCATAAATCTTGGCAGAATATGTACAATATTGTACAACACACAGATTCGTCTGATAGTGAGACCAAAATAACCCTCCTATAGCACAGCTGGGTTCCACATCTCCAGTAGCACCCACAGCCCCAGCTTGCACTGCTTTAGAGACAGCAAAGAACTGCACTGATGAGAACCAAAACCGCTCTCATCCACGTGGCATTTGCCATTTCACCTTGTCCACAGATTTAAAACACTGGTTGTTTCACAAAATTTAATTTTATAATTTTCTTCCAAAGGAAAACAGATTGTACAGCAATTTTTGACTTACACTAAAAAAACCATAAACATCCACCTTCTGTATGTATGGATACATACCAGGATTTGAATTGCTGATGAATTTTTTCACATCCTGCTGGAGCGCAGTACCTGTTCATCTTTTTGTCCATCCCTACTGGGAGTCCTTCTACCTGGGCATGTTGCCTCTTAGGGTTGTACAGAGAGGATTACCTCCAACAAGCAGGACAGATCACCAGCCACCCCTAAACAGCCTCTTCCCAGCATCTCAATGTCTCCCAGAGCAGTGGCTTTGGCAGGAAGAGGTGGCCTGGGATGGCTTCTCTCCAGTACATATGCCCAGAGGACCAATGGGGAAAGGACTGTCTCACACTATCTTTTAGCCGGGGGGCCGGTCTCTTCTCCCAAGTAACAAGCGGACAGAGAGGAAATGGCCTCAAGTTGCACCAGGGCAGGTTTAGATTGGATATTAGGAAAAATTTCTTCACTGAAAGAGTGGTCAAGCATTGGAATGGGCTGCCCAGGGGAGTGGTTGAGTCCCCATCCCTGGAGGTATTCAACGGATGGGTAGACAAGGTGCTTAGGGACATGGTTTAGTGGTGGGATGGCAGGGTTAGGTTAACGGTTAGACTTGATGATCTTAAAGGTCTTTTCCAACCTAAACGATTCTATGATTCTATGATCTTTCACCTCTCTGAGAAAGAAAACACATGCATACATGTCTATGCCTACTCTTCCTTCTGAAGCAGTACAGCTCAGCTGAGACCTCAGACTGATTTTCTGGAGTATTTGGGGTTCTTACCAAAACTGTCTCCATGTACTCCAGCAGGACTCAATTTTGCGCAGAGAAGGTACCTATTGCTGCATGCATGACAGCAATGGCAAGGGCAGGCAGTGCAGCAATCTCCTGTTACTGAACGTGCTGCTTTGTGACCCCCAAAGGCAGTCAGTTATATCCCTGGCAAAGTTCTCCAGCAAAACCACCAGTGATTTGTAAAGCAGAGCTCCTCATCTCCAGCACTGTACTTCTTCTTCCTTCCCATGTCACCACCACTTGCAAAAACATTCATGAAAATGAGCAAGCCCAACCTGCTAGAAAGAGTTAGGGTAGTTAGGGTTTTCAAATGAGGTGTGGGCATTCAATGGAGAGCTTCAGATGTGCCCTATCTAAAGAATGCATCGGTGGCAACAACTCCTCTGTGAGAGCTGTGGAGATGCAGTGGATGGATGAAGGCAGGCATCAGGGAATAACTGGAGATGATGTTTTGCTATTGCTGCAGTATCCTTTGGCCATGGGGACCATAAAGCTCTCTATGAGATGATGATCAGCCAAAAAAATTCAGAAGGGCACAGCAGGGAGGACAAGCTGTTGGGCATCAGAAAAGGGATGGGCTCAGCTTTTGGGCAGTGGGTTGTCATAGGGTTGTTTAGCCTGGAAAATGGGGTTGTTTAGCTTGGAAAAAAGGAGATTGAGGAGAGACCTTATCACTCTCTACAGCTACTTGAAAGGGGGTAGTGAGGTGGGTGTTGGTCTCTTCTCCCAGGTACTGGGTGATAGGACAAGAGGAAATGGCCTTAAGGTGCACCAGAGGAGGTTTAGTTTGGACATTAGGAAAAAATTTTTCACCAAAAGGGTTGTTAAGCATTGGAACAGGCTGCCCAGGGAAGTGTTTGAGTCCCCATCCCTGGAGGTATTTAAAAGACGGGTAGATGTGGTGCTTAGGGACATGGTTTAGTGGTGGAATGGCAGTGTTAGGTTAACGATTGGACTTGACGATCTTAAAGGTCTTTTCCAACCTAAACGATTCCATGATTCTGTTTGATGATTCATAGGCAAGGTGAAGACGAGGATCTGCAGTTCTGCCTACCTCACAGGGGTTTGGCCTGAGCCCCGCTTTGCAAACCAAGTCACCCTCCTGCCACATGGCACAATCTGTGCTTAATGTGTGACCCAGCACCTGGGGTCCCATATGCAGGGAAAGCTGAGAGGTCGCCCCTGTTCACAGCTCCAGTCTCAGTGGTTCCCACCACCTTTTGGTACTCAAGGTGTCCTCTGCCCCAGTGGTCCTCCCTCCAGGTGCCCTTCCTCCTCTCTTTGCCCTGGGGTAGATGAACCCAGTGTCACACCCATTCTGGGGAGGTTTAAGCCCCAAAGAACTCAGCCTGTTGGATGAAGCCAGCGCAAAAGCCCATCTTCTCTCTCAAGAGTTACAATGTCTTTACACTCCTCCTGTGTCTCCTGTCTAGATCAGAAACCAAACAGGAGAAGTCATGCATGCAGATACCCAGGGAATACACAGACCGAATGGGACATGTTACTTTTGCCGTCTTTCAACAAGGAAGTGACATTAGACATATTAATAAGCAAGTTCTGAGCTTGGTGTCCTTCAGTTTGTAGCTGAACTGCAAAACATGCAAATGGACTAAGTAAGCGATGCATTCCCAGTCACCGTACACCATAGTGGTCCCAAGTTCCCACTTCTCATCACGCTGTGCTTTCTCCTTGGCAGAGGTGGTACGTAGTTTGAGAATGGAAGCTATGGATTTATGAAGAACCATTTGTCTAGTGAAGATGATGCACAACTAGCTGTAGTGTGTGTGGTGATGGACCCATCTCCATAGCAAAGAGGTAAAAATCATGTTTCCCCGCAAACCCTTGCCAATGGGCATCAGAAGATACTTTATCACCTGTACGCAGGTTCCCCAGCGCCAGGTCACAGGGAATAACTGCTTCTGTGTAAAGTGAGAAGATCACTTTTGTTATCACTTTGCTTGTACTACTTACCCACTTCATCCCTGATCTTTGCAAGCTCGACTCCTAACTCCTTTATTTTCACAAGGGCATTTTCATTCTGTTTAAGGAAAAAGAGAGAGAAATATGTATAGACCCCAGGTTTATCCCAGATAAGGACTTTCACATGTTCATTTAGTAAAGCAGATTAGATTGATTCTTCATATCTTTCCTTTTTTTTTTTTTTTTTTGGCAGGGGAGAATTATAATGAACTCATTTGGTTTTTAAATCAAGCTTAGGAGCCACGACGCACTAGCTGCAAATACCTTACATCTCTGCGAATAGATGTACACACACTCATGTGCACAGGGCAGCACAGAATACTTTATTCACTCCTATGTGTCTAAAAAGACATTTGTATTTTTTTATCATTTTGCGTTCAATCTGTGTACCATTTATGACTGGACTGCATGTACAAGATGGTTTTATTAATTCTGTTAAAACACATTCATCTATTTAGGCCTGCATTTAACGACCTCTAAACATAGTAATATGCTCACACCATCAAATTTGCAGAGCAGATTACTGTACTTACACCATTCTAGGCATGGTGGGCATACCTCTACAGGCACCACTAATGGCCTGATGTTCATGCCTATTTCCACATTTATTTCTCGTATTTTCTTGTCTGTTAAGGACAAGAGCTCCTCTGGTTGACCTTTCTCAAAAGAAAACTGAATACTCTAAGGAGTTAAAACAGATGAGCTGGCCAAAAGAAAATGAAAACATATTTACGTTAACAATGCTAAGGTGTTATTATTAAAATGCAAGGACTTTGGCAGCAGATATCTCATGAGCATTGTGCAAACTGACAAAGAAAAGCCTTGGGAGAATCTATGGGAGTTTGGTTTAGTACAATAAAAACCAGCATAACTGTTCAATAAGGGCACTTTAAATTGGAATGTATCCTGAATCACATGAGGAGGAAGACAAGGCAAGGTATCCTGCTGGGGAGATCACCAACCATTAGAAAAACTAGATCAGGCTACTACAGATATGTTCCAGGTTAGAAAAGGCCAAGAATCTTTCAAAGGACACTACAGAAAAATCATATTCAAGAGAAAAGGCAGTGTAGTAGCAAATGGAATTAAAAGGAGTCCTAGAAAGTAAATCTTTCAGTAATAAGCAAGCAAGGCTAATAAAAATGCAGGGCACAGGAAGGATGAGTTCAGCAGCAGGATACATAGCAGACAGGATAGCAAATTAGCTCTGTCTGACCAAAATGACAGTGGGGAAAAAAAAGATTTCAGTGCTTCAATGTTTCTGTTTATTCTTCCTGCATCTAATTTTTAACTGTGTGAGAGAAATAAGACAACAGCTTTATCTTTGGTAATACCAAGAAATCGGAATCTGGAATTTAAATTCATCCTTTACACACTGCCCTTTGGGGATGATTCCTGCCAGTTCCAAAGAACAAACTTTCCAGAAAGTTTTGCTGTAAACTGAGTGATTGGCTGAGCTGATTCGAGAGCCCCAGGTGCCTGAGGAGACCCAGGCTACTTGGGCATCTTTCTTATTCAGTTACAGGAAGAAGCCAGGCACACAAGGCTGGGCTCCTCCAAACTGCCAGCTCCATACGCTGCTGAGTAATGCACAGGGGGTTGCGTGCCAGGACTGCAGAGTCCCCGAGTCCTGACTGACTGCATTAGGCTCAGAATAAAATTGAGTGGTTTGGTGGTGGTGGTTTTGTTTTACTGTTGTTGTTGTTGTTTTAATTAATAAAAAAGCTACAAAGAAATAAAAAGGTCTGGATAAATATAGCCTCCTATGTTAAAAAAACATAGCCCCTCACACAGATTCCCAAACCAGCAGTCTTACTGAGATAAGGTTTCCCCTTTTGGAGAACATCACTGCATCTGCCTGTACCGTCTGTTTAACTCACTAGAGTCATTTTAAGAAGTGTTCTTGACAGATTGCCAGGACTGGTGCCCTTGAAGGTGCGTGTGCACAGGGATATGCTGGATATGGGACTTGCAGGTGGGAAGAACCCACTCAAATTACCAGCTTCCACTATGTGAAACAAAAGCCATTTAAAGCAAGGGAGCTCTGTACAAATCACTGCCAGCACCTACAGATAAGCAGAACTCAGTGGGATTGTTACTGGTCTACTTAACATGAAGAAAATTAAAAGCAAGTAAAAAAATTACATCCTAGGGAAAAAAAAAAAGTTGTTAAAATTTTGATCCCCCATTAGAAATACTCCAGACTGCTTTTTTTACCTTATGTTTTATCTTAGATAAGATTTGACCTACACTTGAGGACAGATGTGCAAAGGTTGCCCTCAGTGCCAAGGTCTCAAGTAGTCCCTCTTTCTCCAGGGATTCTTCTAAAGAGCAATAGCACATGAGCCCTTATCTCTTGCTTCTGCAAGAGAGGCAAGGTGTAGTTTTGGCTAATATCATATCAGCCTCATGGTCCCCTGGACGGGCAGTGTGAACCTAGAAATCCCTGACATTTTCTGTTACTGTAACCTGCTTTGTCAGCGTAACACAATAGATTGGGATTGCACGTGTTCCCATGACTGGTGTAAACACAACATTAATACAAAATGAAAAAGCCTCTCCTCGTTATCATCACTGTGGCTCTGCAGATAACCAGCGCTTCAGTGCCAGTGCAGCTGGGAACCAGAGCAAAACTGGATCTGACATGAGAGTGTAAAGCCATCAAGTCCAATGCCGAGATCCATACAGATCCAACGTCAAAACTTCAAAGCAATTAGAAAATTCACAAGCACGCGAGGAAAAATCTGCCAAAATAAATGTGCAAGAAAGCAAATGAACAGGATATCCCATTGAATTAATCAATCTTCATTAGCATTTATGTCAATAAAGTATTTGAAAGAGAAGACAGAGCAAGCGGGAACCTTTGCTGCCCTCCCGAGAGTTTTGTGTCTAACAGGCTCAGGGTATCGAAGGAGCTTTGTGGGCACCCTTCACTAGGTTGGAGTCGAGCGATTAAGGGTGAGTGACTAAGGGCCAAATCCAATTTAGGCTTAAAAAGGCTCAGTGACCATACTAGTGACATGGCCGTTTCCAGTGGGTGACAAGGTCATACACACTGTAAAGAGACTGCAAATATCCAGCATTTAAATGGCAAGGGAGAAAAAAATTGCTTCGATGTGACCTGGGATTGATTTTTTGTGGCCAAAATGTGAAACTGAAACAGTGGGGTTCAGACAAATTAAAAGGTTGCATTTGTTTTTCAGGTACTTTTAATGAATGATGGATTTCATTCTTGCCTGGAAAACCGAAGACAAAGGTCCTCCATTGGCTTCACCCCAAGAAATGAATCTGATACTTAAGTACTTTTCATAAAGTAAAATTACAGTCATGATGGAGATGAAGGAAACCTTCTTCCTCATACCTGTACTCTACAAGACGATGGTTAAGTCTTGTGTCTGGAGTATGTCCCATCTCCTCAGACAGAGAGAAAAATAGAATAGAACCAGTAGAATGATATTTTTGATCTGTGCTCAAACTACTGCTCTGTTGAATAGAAGACACCGTAGCAACTCTTTTTCCTATCATCAGCTTTATAACACACAGACCTCCCCATATTTCTCCTGTGAAAGGCTCAATGTCGGACTGCATTTCAGCAAGTAAAACAGACACTGAAAATGGCACTGATGTTGTATTTTCCATTCAACTCAAAACTCCCTGAGGACAGACTGAGGTATGACTTTTGTCGGTGCAACATCCAAGCAGCTCCAGAAAAACCGGCAGGTAGTCAAGCAAGTAGGCAGAGAGGTAGGAAGGAAGGAGGAATTTGTCCAGTTAAATAACAGTGGCCAAAACTTAGCAGTGTAGTTCAGGAAAAAATCTGCAAGATTTACGTATAAGTGCATGTGAGGATCTGGAAAAATAACTTCGTAAAAGATGCCATGATATGGGCCTGAGGATGGGCAAGATGCTGGTGTTGTCCAAACAGATTAAGAAGGGAAGCAGTGATGAAGGCTTGGGGGGAGAGGAAAGGCTCTGCTTTACTTGCATGGAGCTTCAGGTGGCAGCTAGACATCCTCGCAGAGTCATCGTCAGGGAGACGGGTCAAGATTTTACTTTGGACCAGGAATAATTGCGGGATGGGGAGACAGAGTTGAGATTTGCCTAAGAGCATCTCTCCTCTGAGAACTGCAAACTACCTGAGAGATACTAATTCATTAGAAAAGCTAATTAATGAAGCCTCCAGGTACTTTTTAACAACAGGTAAGCAACAGCAGATCCACCACACAACTGGGTCAGATCAGGCAAGAAACATCAGAAAATTGCCCAGACCCCCATAGGACGTCAACTGCAGCTGGGAAGTAAACATGGGGAGCCTGGAGTTACCTCCCCAAATCAACACATCTGTCCTCCCTGCCAACTTACATGCTTGCTTATATTCTGAGGTCCAAATACATGTATGCTATCTCCAAAACCACTTCCCAGTTCTCTAGGATGCCTCCTAAAAAGATTCACTGCACACAGATGCCCTGCAGCACTTGTTATTAAAACTGCATCTTCAGAATAGCTTTTCTGTAGCCAATGCTTTCAAAATATTGGGGGGGGGAAAAAAAAAAAAAAGACTGACCTGCAAATAGTGCTTAGTCACTGTTGTGCTTTATTCAGAGTTCCCAGGGGCAAGGCCTTATATTATCATTGGAAAAAGAAGCATATACACTGGGAATTCTCTTGTACCAATAAATATTTCAGCTGATACTTGTAGAAGCAATAACTGAATCCCACTGCAGCAGATGTTCCAAATGAACTACTGTCTTACTTCAAGAAAGAGGCATTTTAACACTGCTGTTTCAGTCATGCTGGTTATTAGGTTATCCTCCCTCATAAGACCCCTTAGGTTAAAGTTTATGAGCACCTAGATATCCCCCAGTGACTGTACTTTAACAGGTTTTATATTAAGAGATACATTTTTTCTTAACCTGGCTAGCAGCATATCTCACGCTATATTTGAACTTATTATTAGGTAAATGGGAGACACTGTCAGCTTTTCATTAGACCGAGTATAGGAATATCTTAAAAAGCCAAACCCTAACAAAATATACTGCAGAAGCATGTGTTTCTGCCAAGATATTTCCTATCAAGCAAATTAAATGCACATGTTCATTCTCTCCCTCCTCTGTCTATACTTAAAATCCAGGCAAATTTCCAGAAGAATAGCATGAAAAGCTATGTGTTAGAAATGTCCCACGACTTCCCTCCCACGTTATTCTCCTGCTACCTGTAGCTCTGTACTTACCTCTGCGCTGACAGTTTGTTACCCGACCCGTTTTGGTGCCTGGGAATTTGCTTGGGTTCACCCCGACTTAAGAAAACACGTAGTTTTGCCTTGTTTCACTTCTCCTAGATGGGAGAATCAATCCTCCGTCAGAAAGGAGGATAATTAGAGAGGCAAAGCCTTAGGACAGCTAGAGGTTGAATAATCTCTCCTCAAACTTCAGAACTCTGTGCAAGTTTCCTTTACCACTTGTACTCCACGGGGTCCTTAGAAACGTGCGGAGAGCAGAGCAAAGAGACGGAGCCCGGCTTGTTACTACAGGAGGTGCCCGCGGTCCCTCCTTGCTTCACGAAAATCCAGCCCTTACATTTCGACTGCAGGATGAAATTATGTAAGGCACCGCAGTGCATGTGGAGGCGGGCAGCTCGGCTTCTCCCCGGCGAAGGGGAGCTCCGCGCTCCGGGGATGCGGG